GGGGTGTCTAGACAATTACAATATATACTTTATTACTATACATATTAGTATAATTTTTACATATACATACTACATACAATAATGTTTACATTTTATTTATATATTTTTTTTAAAGAAATTAATACTTTTATTCAGCAAGTTTGTATTTGATTGATCAAAAGTGACAGTCAAGACTTTTACATTGGTACAAAAAAATCTATTTCAAATAAATGCTGTTGTTTTTAGCTTATCTATTTATCATGGTTTCCAAAACAATATTAAGTTCCACAACTGCTTTCAACCTTTATAACAAGAAATGTTCAAGCGAATTTGCATATTAAAATAATTTCTGAAGGACACTGAAGACTTAAGTAATAGCTGCTGAAAATTCAGCTTTGCCATCACAGGGATAAAACAACAAGAGTTATATTTAAATTGTAATAATTTACTGTTTTTGCTATTTTATCAAATAAACGAAGCCTTTAGCCATAAGAGACTTCAATCATGGACTCACTCACTCTTTTAACGTGGATGCGCTCAGCTTTAGATTTGGTAAAGCAAAGGCGAAGAGAGTACACCAGTAGAGCAGGAATACGCAAAAGCTCCATGACCGTTCCGATCAGACTGGACGTGATCACGTAGTTCACAAAAAAAGCTCCGTTATCAGGCAAAAACACACATCTGAGGGAAAACAAAGTGGTTGTAGGTCTCAACAAACTATGCATCTAAATAAATTAACCAACATCTGTAGAGTTCAGCAACAGTGAGAACTTACTGAAACTTTACATCTGTTTCATCCAGGAAGTGGATGTCAAAGAGCCACCTGAAGAACAAATCCAAGCTGGGGAGCAGACAAGAAGATATATAATGTATAATACTGTACATTATATATACAGTGGCTAAGTATGTATGACGTCAGTTCTCCTCACAGGTGTAGTTCATCGCATTAACTAAGAAAATGTTCCACTGATGTTTGCCAGCCACAAAGTGTCTGGATACTTATTGATAGCCTATTTCTATTGTTTTATGCTGTGTGAGTTAAAACATATGCTTGCTATAAATTCAATATGTTTTTAAAATGAGGTTCATAAAAAATGATTTTTCTATTATAGACATGTTTTTAGGTTTAGGTTTAGTTGATGTATCTGTCTGGGGATTGTAAAAAAGAAAATAGCCTCATTAAAAGACTACAAAAACAAACAAACAAACAAACAAAAAAAATTATATATATAGACATAAGTAGGACATCCTTGTTTATCATTGACCCACATACATATAGTACTGTATATAAAAATTTTTTTAATTCTGAGACAAAATTACATGTTTCACAAAATTGACATGTTGACAAAATGACATGCTTTTATCGACATGTTATTACAGTGTATAATTAAAGTATTTCAGATTATAGGATGTTTACCTGGATAGACCCAGTGATGGTAGAATGATTACCATGAAGACAAGCAGTAGAAAGCATTTATGCATGGTGACCTGATTCTCACTGGACCTGAAAGAGACACACATTACAAGAAAATTCAAATGATTACAACTGAACCAAACAACTAGAATAAATATATTAAATATACATATTTTACTATTCCGTTCCTTTTTCACACCAGTTTTTCTTCTAGACAGACTGTTTGTGGTTAAAGTCAACATAAAACCGTGTTGGCAACCCAATTAAGTGACGCATTTCATAGTAAAAAAAGGGAAATGTATTAAGTTAATACCAAAATTTGATTTTATGTTGACTTGTGTATATTAATCATCAGTGTTTCCACTGTAAATACAACAGATACGCAAGTGCTGCAGGTTCTGCAGTTGCGCAATATACATGAGGGTTTGATCCACATGAACTATAATGTGACTCTGTGAAAGACGCCGCCAGTGTGCATATGATTATTCCCTTGTTGTGATCACTATGACAACAAGCCTGGAGAGGCAAGCAGAGAGTGCAAGAGAGAGGGACACCATGTAAACGTGTTGTGCATAGGCGGGTGGGAGACTGGGTTGGGGGCTGTACAGCAGTTATGCAATATGTTTGTGTGCTGATATGAACATGTTTATGCAATAGATTTCAGCCGCACTGCAAATACAACTTCCAACAGCACAAACTTACACTGGTCATTGGGACACCATATTTCTGCTAAACATCATATGACTGTGTATGTGTATGATTGTGGTTTGTATAGGTTGATTAAAGGGATCATTCACCCAAAAATGAAAATTCTATCATCATTTACTTACAATCAAGCGGTTCCAAACCTGTATGATTTATTTTGATGCTTAAATGTCTTTTTTTCCATACAGTGGAAGTCAATGTGAACCAAAACATTCTTCTCTTCTGTTTAGCAGAAGAAAGAAATGCATCTAGGCTTGGAATGACATTAGGGTGAGTAAATAATGACAGAATTTTAATTTCAATGAACAATCCCTTAAATGTATGCGTGTATCCCTTTAATACAGGAGCGCTGGTGTCCTGCAGAGTTTAGCTTCAACCCTAATTAAACACACCTGAACCAGCTAATCAAGCTCTTACTAGGCATAGAAACTTCCAGTCAGGTGTGTTGAAGCAAGTTGGAGCTAAACTCTGCAGGACACCCGCCCTCCAGGACTGAGTTTGGACAGCCCTGCTTTAATAAATGTGTATGTGTGAGGAATGTTGGGACAGCATTAGGAAGGGGAGAAAGGAATTTAGGCCTAAGCTGCTTCATGAATTTATTATTTGTGTGTGTGTGTGCAATGTTCAGTTATGAATCAAGCAACACCTTCCCCAAATTCTCATTAACACAATGCAAGAAAATCACACGATTTTAATGTAAACAATAATATATTTCCTAACTTAAAAGGTATTTCATGCATTTTGGTAGTATTTGTACTGCCTTTAATTTATGTCAATTTAAATGTAAAACTATATTAAAGAGAAAAAATGAAATATGAAAAAATGAGTATTTTAAGTAAACTCTTTTTAACATTCTAAAAACCCTAAAAAGAAAAATTCCTGAAAAATGTATCACAGTTTCCACAAAAAAATATTAAGTAGCAGAAGTGTTTGCTGATAATAATAGGATAAGAATAAGAAATGTTTCTTGAGCACCAAATCATCATGATTTCTGAAGAATCATGTGACACTGAAGACTGAAGTAATAGCTGCTGAAAATTCAGCTTTGCCATCACAGGAATAAATTGCATTTTAAAATATATTAACAACAATATTTTAAGAATATGTATTTTTATTTTTACTGTATCTTGATCAAATAAATGCAGCATTTGTGAGTATAAGAGACTTCTTTAAAATAAATAAATAAATAAAATCTTACCAAACCCAAGTTTTCAAATGGTATTGTATAATCCAGATCAAATCAAATCAAAATCATGTTGGAACAACAGGAACATTTTATTGTGTTAATAACACAATTATTTAATTGTAATAATTATAGTTACAATTTTAATCAGTGCAAATCAGTCACTTTAATGTATAATGGAGTAAATAGACCTCCCTGTCATAGTTCTCTCACATTTATACACAGAATAAAAGAGTTTAAAGTCAGATGGTGGAAACGGCATCATACCTGGTCCAGTGGCACTCAAAGAAAGATGAATAGTACACAATGAAGGGCAGGAGAATGGAAAAGGCCCACAGGAGCAGGGTGGGGAAGAACTGGGTAATTACTGGGTTCTAGACAGTAGAAGACAGTAAAAGATCGAATTCAAAACATTCAACTTCCGAAAACAACACAAAAAAGCACTTTCAGTTTTACTTTACATTCTAATGTGGCGTAATACAGCAGGACAGTTATAAAACTGCTTTGATGGTCACTGACCCTTAAGCTTTCAACTGGCCGAGTGACGTTGAACTTGTCCATAGTGTTTACGATGATAGCAGGGGTTGTGAGAAAGAAGAGCAAGAAGAAAAGCAGAATGTTGAGCAGGACGCAGCGGAGCCACCAGCGAGAACCGCACACTGACAGATTTTCCCTGGACGAACACAGGCACCAATCAACACAACAAGGTCTTAACTACAGTTACAGAACAGACAGTGTGTGCTCTCTACGAGAATACGTGGGATGTTCAGCTACTATCACATAAATAGGAAGAGAAAAAAAAACCCAGCCTAAGGTGGTTACACTCTTAAAAATAAAGGTGCTTCAAAAGGTTCTTCAAGCGATGCAATAGAAGAACCATTTTTGGTTCCACAAAGAACCATTCAGTCAAAGGTTCTTTAAAGAACCATCTCTTTCTTACCTTTTTATAATCTGAAGAACCTTCTTTCACCACAAAGAACCCTTTGTGAAACAGAAAGGTTCTTCAGATGTTAAAGGTTCTTTATGGAACCCTTTAGACAAAAAGGTTTGTGAACCTTCGTGAAGCGCCTTTATTTTTAAGAATGTAGCTGGACTCTAAAACTGACCAAACTGGTGTTCAGCTGGTTTAGCTAGTCGGCAATTTGGTCTTCCAGATCAAAAGTGCCCCAAATCCTTCTAAAACCAGCAAAAGTGTTGGAAATCCCTCTGAAACAAGCTTATTTATTGATTTATTTTTTTAACAGGGACAGAACATTGGTGACTAAGGGAAAGTTTCTACTCTTAGCCCTGTAAAGCCTGACATACAGTATGAAATAATAGTCCAAAAATATATATTTTTAAAAGGAATCTAAAAATATATGTTTTTGAGTATCATATTTTATACATCAGGCTTTTACAGCTCATATAGTATGATACAGGAAAATATGAAGCTCAAGGAGAAAAAAAACCCACCTACGTTTTATTCAGAGGGCCAAATGGAGCAAAAACATGAAATTTGATGCAGTTGCTTATATTTATAAGGTCATAAAGCAATATGAAATTCTGACAGCTTATCATTTAAGTCAATCAATTCAACCTGAATTTTTTGAATTCTACTAAAATACCTTTTACTCATAAAAGCATAAAAAACAGTGATATATATACAGTGGGTACGGAAAGTATTCAGACCCCCTTACATTTTTCACTCTTTGTTATATTGCAGCCATTTGCTAAAATCATTTAAGTAAAAATGTTTTCCTCATTAATGTACACACAGCACCCCATATTGACAGAAAAACACAGAATTGTTGACATTTTTGCAGATTTATTAAAAAAGAAAAACTGAAATATCACATGGTCCTAAGTATTCAGACCCTTTGCTGTGACACTCATATATTTAACTCAGGTGCTGTCCATTTCTTCTGATCATCCTTGAGATGGTTCTACACCTTCATTTGAGTCCAGCTGTGTTTGATTATACTGATTGGACTTGAAACTACTTAGGAAAGCCACACACCTGTCTATATAAGACCTTACAGCTCACAGTGCATGTCAGAGCAAATGAGAATCATAAATACCTTTCAAAAGTAATTTTCCAAAATTGCTAAACCATTTACTCTATAAATGCAGTGGTACAAAACATAGAAGTCTCGGGCTACACTGAACTGGAAAATATTCACACTTCAATAAATTGTTTTAATAAGAAGCAAACATGCTACAACATTAGAGCTTATATCCATAAACTGGACATTCAATGAAGGGACAGATCTCCCTTATTTTTAGACGTTTTGAAGATGAACAAAAATCGTATGGGTTTGGAACGAGTAAATGATGTCAAGTTTTGCCTTCTTTTTCCTGCTAATTAGCTCAGGATCTATCTATACTTACTACCGGATATTTTTCAAACTTATTGTTTAAACTTAAGAATGACATAAAAAAGCTGTAATATCATACAGTGTCAAACTGCTTATAATTTCAGCTTTGGTAATATTGTGTGTATATATACATATATTTTTTTTTAACGTATGGTTTTTCTAATAGAACAATATTCTGCTATAATAATATTAATATATGTTGGATTATTGAACTTATAAACTATGGTTTCCCAAACTAGTGTTCATGAGTTGATGAAAAGCTGATGAAAACAACAACAACAACAACAACAAAACAGGCAATTAAATATGAATTCCTAGCTTACATCATCTCTTGACAGACGATGCTGATATTCAGTAATGTAACCTCAATAATCAGCCATTTATCCACAAGACTTACACTGCAGTCATTCTCTCATCTCTGAAGGTAACAAAGGCAATGCCCAGCCTCTTCATAGAGATACGGTTCTTCTCTGCATTAAACTCATCTGTCAGTTTCTCCTCCAGTTCACTGTAATACTGCTCTGCATCCACCTGACAAAAAGACAATGACATAAAACATGAGAGATGAGTATCACATCTCCTTGCAGAGCACTTCATGACTGACAGTTGGTGTATAGTGGTCTCCAGTGGCCAACATGAGGAGGTGCAGTACCAGCCACACGGCCATTCAATAGGTATACAATTTGTGCACACAAATATATCAATTCTGACAACTATAATGAGTGTGTGAGGGACATTTACCTGTTCAAAGCCACATATATCACAGCAGAAGATCTGTGCACAGGGGTGAGTCTTTATCATGATCCTGCCTTCCTTCTGAGCTTTGGTTGTGAAGTACAGCCTTCCTTTCATTGCTTTTCGCCTGATATATAGTTTTAATATGGTTTAATTATTTAATTATGCATTATTTGTGAGACTCAGCTCTATGACATGCAAGAGATATGCAAACGCAAATGACCTTTCTGAGTCCAGCTTCATTAGTTTTTGTACATCAAAGCAGAACCGGATGTCTGTGACGGTGCAGCTAGGGTAGGCTTCACTGTTTGGAGATAGAAGAGACATTGGCTTTTAAATAAGTGAAAAATGAATACCCTCAGTTGTGTTGACATTTAATATCTGATATGCCGAAGTATGGAGATCAAGCACTAGTTGTAATCTGTGGATAACAGATCTGTGCTCTTTACTCACTGCAGGTGTTTGGTGATCAGGCTCAGATCAGAGATTTCTCTGGGAACTGAAGTTATCATTAGAGTTCTGGCCACCTGCAGTAATAATAAATCAAAGTTGTTGTTTTTTTCTGAGTGGTGAACACTACACATTAAAAAAAAATAAAGGTTCTTTCTTTGCATATATGGTTCCATGAAGAAGCTTTAAAATTCAGGGAAACTTTTAAGTGCACAAAAGGTTATTTATTGTTGAAAAAGGTTTTTAAAAAGGACTTCACACTAAGAAAAAATGTGTTTTTAATGCAATATATATATATATATATATATATACAGTATATATATATACTGTAAAGTAATTATACATCATATCATATTATGGCAGTATATTTCATTTTAATTGTGATTTTAAATAAAATAAAAAGATAAAAAAATAAATAAAACAAACAGACAGACAGACAGACAGACAGACAGACAGACAGACAGACAGACAGACAGACAAATAAAATAAAATAAAATAAAATAATAAAATATAAAATAAAATAAAATAAAATAAAATATAATATAATATAATAATAAAATAAAATAAAATAAAATAAAATAAAATACTCATTATCCAGACAGGCTGATTTCCATTATTGTATTACCTTATAGAGAATCTAATGAGAATCACTAAGAATAATGAGAATTGCAAACAAACAAACATTAAACATCTGAATGCATTGATGAAATAAGAAATATGCTTAACTGTAATGAAAGCACATCACAATCCCCCCCAAAATCTAATGGCTTTATATATTTATATAAAAATAAAATATATATATATTTTTCAAATTCTAAATTATATGCAAATATAAAACAATAAAGCATATTGTAGACCTGAACATTTTTCATGAGATGCACTCAGTCGGCTTGCAAGCACTGTTGAAAGCAATGCCACTTATGGACCAGAAATGAGGTGCAATAACACATGAACATGATTACAGCTCACCAACCTTCTCGTCTTCTCTGTATTCCAGTCGTGAGGAATGATGGGCCATGCACAGTACTGTGATCACAAAATACAGCAGAGCAAAGATGCTGTGCAGCCACAGAAATGCATTCCTAATGCACAAAGAAAAGAGAGTTATTAAAATCGTGCCAACAACTTCATAAATATGTACATACTCAACAAGGTCATGCTTTTCAGGTCTACATTCATCATAAAAAAACAAACTTACTGTGCAGGAACATTAACCACTGTTGTTCGGCCGAAATTCTGTGGGCTATCTCCTGAAAAGCATAGAAATACACAACTTGTGTAACATTTCATGCACTTCTCACATACCAGTGTCAAAAAATAAAAGTCTGAAAGTAATTTGAGGCCTGTGTGGTACAGTGCAAACTGAATGTGGAATAAAAAAAAAAACCTCTCTACACCCTAATCATTACGCTTTGGGTTTGGATGCTATGACAAATTTGTGAATGTGCCAGTTTATTTCACAAATACAGTGTCAAATGGTTGCATAGAGATGAGAGTAAGCGTCAAAACCCCCACCCTGTTTTAACCAGCTGGCCCCCGAAACTGCACCACAAACTGGTCTACCACACATCCACATTGAACGCTTTTAGAGAGCCACAGTAAACTTCTGCCACCAAGGTCGTATAAAAGTTATATGAAAAGCTTAGTGCAGGTCTGAAAACAACAAGAGGTAAAGCCGGTGGCTTTTCACAATGCTCTTCTTGTGGCGTGGACAGTCAAGGCCATTCTCATATTTAACTTGGCCCTTCTAACCCTGCATCGTGCAACCCAACCATCTCCAAACACTGTAGGGTGGTCTGAATTATGCTTTTCCACACGTCCACTAATGGAGGGTTAAGACTGAGCGCTTCTACATCTTCAAGAGCTTTCCCAGGCTTTTCCTAGAGTCATTCATCGACAGGCCCACACGGAATCTGCATCCGCAAACCCATACACAAATGTTACACATTCTCCCAGCTTTGTGCCTTATTGTAGAACTCTCAGCAACATTTAATGCATTTTAGCATGCTAAAATACATTCTGCAGATTTCTCCAATTCCCTCAGAAAATGCACATTGCCGTCAAAAGTTTGGGGTGGTTCAGACTCATTGTTTTTGTCTCTTATGTTTACCAAAAACACAATACAAACATATACTGATATAATGAAGTATTATTAGGATTTAAAATAACTGTTTTCTATTTTGATACATTTTAAAATGTAGTTTATTCCTGTGACGGCAAAGCTGAATTTTCAGCATCCTTACCCCAGTCTCCAGTGTCACATGATCTGCCAGAAATCATTGTAATATGCTGATTTGGTGCTCAAGACACGTTTCTTCTTATTATTAAAGTAGAAAACAGTTATATTTTTCTGGACACCAGGCTTCAGGATTCTTTGAGGAATAGAAAGTTCAAAAGAGCAGCATTTATTCAAAATACAGTAGACGTCTTACTGACCTCAAACCTTTGAACAGTAGTGCATTTATGAAACAAAAACTCTGCACAAGCTGACTTACTGTCACTTTAAAATAATAATAATAATAATAATTTAATTATGGCCTATTATTAGACAATTTATGGAGAAAGTGAGGAGGAAAATTATTTATTGGGAGATTGTCACATACTGTGGATCAATATGCTTGTCGCACATGCATTAACCAGTAAGCCACGGCTGACACAAAAGATTTTGGGGACAAAAAACATTTTTTCAAATGTTAAGATATTTTTGCACAAAACTGTATTTAAAATAACGATTTAAAAAAGTGAAAGGGACGTGACATGTGGCCAAGTATGGTGACCCGTGCTTGGAATTAGTGCTCTGCATTTATCCCATCCAAAGTGCACACACACAGCAGTGAACACACACACCGTGAACACACACCAGGAGCAGTGAGCAGCCATTTATGCTGCGGCGCCCGGGGAGCAGTTGGGGGTTCGGTGCCTTGCTCAAGGGCACCTCAGTCGTGGTACTGAAGGTGGGAGAGAGAGCCGTACATTCACTCCCCCCACCTACAATCTCTGCCGGTACGAGATGTACCCCTCTTGCTGAATTAAACATTTCACATAATAATAACAATGTGACAAAGATTATTTAAAGTCTTAAAAAGTCTTATTTAAAGGTTTTAAGAAAGTATTTAATTTTTACATTTTATTTTCCTTTTAGAATGTGCTTTAGATAAATTTCAGAGTAAGCCATCCATGCATTTTTAGCATTTCAAGAGAGTCATTTCTTTCTAAGAGTGAAACTCTAATACTCTAACAATCTGTCAAAACTAATTCATGAGATTAAAAAGTCTTTTTTAGGTGCAAGCACACTGATGAATTAAGATGTAGTGTTGATGTAATGTTGTTTTAAAGTTTAATGCCTTTTCCTGGATACCAAACGTGTTGTGTCTGTTGTCATGAATCCTTTATGGCTGAGCATTACTAGAGCAAACAGTAACCAAGCAGTTATGGATCTGGTGGAGGTACCTAGGAGGTTTCCAGAGAGGTTGACAGGCAAGATGATGGTGAGCGACAGCAAACACACCACCATCATGAGCAGGATAATGTGACGCTGGAAAGACAGGTACGTGATCGCGTCAATGCCACATTTACTGCGGATCTCTTCATCCCTATGGGGAAAAAAAGCCTTTATTAAGTAAATATTTACAATTGCATTTTTTTTCATTTGGCAGACACTTTTATCCAAACCAATTTATGTTGCATCAGTATACAGGTCAACAACTTAATGCACATTTTTTAAATCTTATCCATTTGTTTATACAAAAATACAAACAACATGCAATTAAAACATACAAATCATTAAATAAAAATCTTTTTTAACCTTCAAATGTCCTAATATTGAAATGAAGATGTCAACAACTTAATGCACATTTTTTAAATCTTATTCATTTGTTTATACAACAATACAAACAACATGCAATTCAAACATACAAATCATTTAAAAAAAATAAATTTACCCTTCAAATGTCCTAATATTGCAATGAAGATAAAAGCCAAGCAATTAAGAAAGAAAGAAAGAAAGAAAGAAAACAAACACTATTTTGGATTTTGGCATTTTCTGTTATTGTGGTTCAACCAACATGCAGAAACAAAACAAAACAAAAAGACTCTCTTAACAAGCTCAATAAATCTCTTAAAATATCAGATCATATGTCCTTTTTACAAAGGTTTATAAAAAGATTTATTTCAGGTTGTAAAATGTCATGTGGTGCAACTCTCTAAAAAGTACAGATATTTATGAATTAATAATTTTTTACACTGAAAAATATATTTACATTTTTTGGAAAATAACTCTCACATGGTAAATGTGCTCATAATTTTATTACTTGATGGTTACTGTACATTACATGACATTTTATAGTCAGTAAATTGAAACTTTTCTTGAAAATCAGAGTACTATTCTAATGTTTGCAGTCAGTATGCAGGTCTTTTTAACTTTCTATTCATCAAAGAATCCTGAAAAAATGTATCATCATTTGCACAAAAGTTATAATAAAAAATATATCTTTAGCACCAAATCAGCATATCAAAATGATTTCTGAAGGATCATGTGGCACTGAAGACTGAGTAATGGCTGCTGAAAATTCAGCTTTTCCAAATTATATTTTGCAGTGTTTCAAAATAGAAAGCAGTTGTTTTAAATTGTAATCATATTTCACAAAATGACTGTTTTCACTGTATTTTTGGTGAGCATTAAACATTTAGAAATCTTACCGACCCCAAACTTTTGAATGGTAGTGTATATTCAAGTTTTTCAAAACCACATGAAACCAACATGAAAACGAACATGTCACATGTTTTAAAACTAGATTTTTTTCTTTCCTTGTAAAAGATTTTTATTTTAATTTTTTAATCGAGGACATATTATTGACCCATGTGCATTCTCTAAGAATCAAACCTATGACTTTTGTTTTGCTAGATCTGCACTAGTTAGCAGACACAGTCATTGAGAGTTTTCAATGTGTTTCCAATGAATTATTGGCTTCGGTCAACAATATATGTGTGGTGGCCTTTTTAAAAGACCACACATACACGAGGGCATTGGGGGCTTTTATGATTACAAGGAGCCCTCATACACACAAAAACACAAACACACACTCACACCCCTCCAGCCTCACCTCACACAGAGCGAGGAACTCTCAGTTTTTAAGCTTTTAAGGGAACCAGCTAAATATGGCACCAACATGCCATTCTAGTCGTCCAAATAACATCTCTGCAACCGTGGAGACAGACTAGAGGCTGGTTTACAGTTCTGAAAGGCTTTAGAGCATGCCCAGACGTTAGATGTGCTGGTAAAGTGCCCGGTCTACCTTCACCCTGTGTTTTCCCTTCTTAATGAGATATAACATGAGCAAACAGGACACTGGTTGATGACATCACCAGGCACTTCTTGCACACTTACTTCATGTGGTACAGAGATGTGAGCCAGGAACAGAAGCCCTATAAAGAGAGGGAGGGAAGACGACGGTGTCATAAAAAGGTCTGGCATATAAAAAAGAGCGCGTCTGGCTAGCTTAGCATCTGTCAGAATCATTTGTCCTTTAAGTGAACACGGATAGCGTAACAAGTGGAAAAAGCCATGCAAATGCATGCAATATCTTTAACGTGGCTGTGATGTCTTGAACCGTCATTGGAAATAAAATAAAAGGAGACAGAGTGAGGTCAGAATATAAACGGACAGATAGTGTGCATAAAAGAAAATAGCGTCTAAGTGCACAGGCTCTTTTATATGACATTGGCTCTGGGGCGACGCGCCGTAACAGCGGCTGACTAATCCCCGTCGACAGATTGAACTTTATTTTTGCCTCTGTATGTCTTTAGGTTTCAGCAGTAGTAAATTCGCATCACCGTGAAGATGATAGTGACATTAAACCCCAATCTATTAGTTGTACTCATGCTTTTATTCCTTTCTAAGCAGAGGTGTTGTTGATAATGACAAGGCCCAGTGGGTTTTCTCACTGCCAAATGTGGTAAATTCAAGCAAAGATCTTGTTTCTGCATGATCAAACATTTCTTAAATGTGTTTGATGCTTTTATTTCTTTGTCTCTTTTACAAAAGGTTCTCACCATGTCCTTGGTCTCTGAGTCTGATGGGCTGGATTCTGATGGGGTTTTCTCTTTCTCACTTTGTTCTCCATAGAATAGTGATGTCAAGCTACAGAACAAAGACAAACAATAAAACTGACAGGTAAAAAAAAAAACACAAAAAAACTGAAAATTCTAAAACTGAAATAAAATTTGCATGTAGGATTATATGCAGACTAGGGCTAGTTATCACATTATCAATAGCCTATAATAAATTTTAAATGTAGAAGATGGCTTTTGAATTTAGATTTAGATTTCAAACAATTGAGTGTGTGTGTGTGTGTGTGTGTGTGTGTGTGTGTGTTAAATTAACTGTATCTTTTTCTTGGGCAATTGTGGAAAATATTCACCCATGTAGGATTATATGCAGACTAGGGCTAGTTATCACATTATCAATAGCCTATAATAAATTTTAAATGTAGAAGATGGCTTTTGAATTTAGATTTAGATTTCAAACAATTGAGTGTGTGTGTGTGTGTGTGTGTGTGTGTGTGTTAAATTAACTGTATCTTTTTCTTGGGCAATTGTGGAAAATATTCAATGGGTTTTCTGTAGCCTAGAGATTAAGAGAAACATTTAATCATATTAATAACCTTTAATGGCTTTTCAGCAAATAAATAAAGAGTAAAAAACTGAAACACAAAATGCAAAATGCAACATTCAAAACATTGTTTTGCTCATTTAATTTAATTAATTCTATAATACATGATAACTTGCCACTACCTGACATTTACCTTCATCCTGAACATATCAGTTAAAATCTACCTTCATTATAAAGTAAGCTTGAATGCATCTCATTGTGGTTTTACACTTGTTAATATGTGTAACACGTTAGATTAGGAAACACTATTCAGTATTAACTAGATGCTTATTAGCATGCATATTACTAGCATATTGGCTGTTTATTAGTACTTATAAAGCACATAATTATTCTGCATGACCATATTCTAGGTCCCTTAACCCAAACATAACTACTACAACAACTACCTTACTTACTATCAATAAGCAGCAAATTAGGATTCCCTTTCATGGGAACTTCGAACTGCGTCCTCTAGGGGTCACTATGGAGAACGCCTCGTCGTGACCCGTGTCTGAAGCATACATTGAAAAAACACCAACAACACGTTGGCCGGCGACAGCCATGACGTCACTACCGATGCGACTATAGTATAAATAGGCACCGTGAGAACACATCATCCTCTTCTTCGTCTTCATTGACTGTTTTGTTTGAAGCGTGCATTTTTGTGGTAAGAGCGATCTCTATTCATATCATTATGGCGAGCACTAGCAAAGCGTTTAAAGGATGTGTGCATCCGTGTTGTTGTTTAACATCTGATGACATACACGATCTATGCGTTATTTGTTTGGGCGAATAGCACGCACGCGATGTCTCCGAGGGGGCAATCGGCATGCACTGTGAGCGTTTTTCCAATGAAAAAGCTCCACTCTCTTTTGTCTCTCTTTTCGAGGAAAGAGGGGCAGCCATCTGCTTCCCCGCGATTCAGAACCCACTGCTGCTGAGGCACGGAGGAGAATGAGCTCGTGGGGATCGCAAGTGGATCTGGCCGATGAGTTTGAAGAGGGGTTTTCCCTCTCGCGATCGTCGGCTGTGGACGAGAGTGAGCCGCTGGAGGATGATATTATTTCATTAACATTGTCTGATCCAGGGGCCAGTGCTCTGCTGGGTTCGGCCCAGAAAAAGCAGGAAATGTCTGAGGAGGGCAAAGAAGCTGAGGCTGAGCCTTCCCAATCCTCCTGCCCTGCATATGATGAGCTTTTAAAAGTTATGGATCGCTCCTCGGCGAGGCTTTACTTGCCGTGAAGCAGGCAAAGAAAGTGACGTCGCGTTATTGACGTCGTTATTTTTTCTGGCCATAACCCTCCAGCTCAGGTGAGCCTTCCTTTCTTCCTGTTTTCCATACAGAGATTGAGAAGGAATGGAGAGGCCGGTTTTTCCTCACGCATCCATCGATTCCAGCATACTAGTTATGCCAACATCGAGGCGATGCGCAAAAGCGGTTATGAGAAGATGCCTCTATAGAGAGAGCTGGCCAGCTATCTCTCTATGGGTGAGACGTCCTCTTTTAAGACTCCCTCCTTGACATCTCCCTCTAATGCCAGGGCATACGCAGCAGCAGCAGGTTTCGTTGCACACGATGGTGATGCTCCAAGCATATCAGGCTGACCTGCTGAAAGACCTGGATAAAGGAGGTCCAGGTCTGAGCCAGAACAACCAAGGGGTCCTGGCCCATCTCGGTTTGAGGATCAGAGACGAGCACAGAAGGCTAGTATTGCGGCTCGCGCTCCTCCCCCACCTGCGGGTGGGGTAGGAAGAATCGCAGGTCAAAGGAAGGTAGGTAAAAGACCAAAGGGATGTGATCCAGACAGGGGTTCAACGCTTTTGTCTGGATCAGAGTGATACCTCAGTATCTACTCATTTCCTTCGGGGGTCTTATACCTGCCCTTATCTTCCCCTTCCTAATTCCCCTGTAACCACCATCTCGCCACCTGACCGAGGTTAGGTGGGAATTTCCTGCATTACAGTCTCCTATGCTGGACCTATGATGTTTGGTTGGTTCTATGGCTTCATAGTGACCACCTTACTGATGGTCCGGACCAGAGGCTTCTTCGGACAGGGCTCCGACGCGGGAACCATGGCTAGGTCGCTCTGAGGGGCCTCCCGATCACCAGGATATCCCCTCTTGCTGAGGGATCGAGCGGGAAGTATAGGTGGCATTTACGAGAACCTTCTTGTGTAATGCTGTCTCAGGCAGTGCTCCCCTCACCTTAGAGGGTTGTATTTGAGCTTGCCTCTCCCGTTTGGCTCAGTACTTCCGGGTATCTGTGAGCAGATGCTTGGAAAACTCTTTAATCCATACAATGGTAAGCGCACACATATAAACATTGCGCACTTTCTAAAAATCCACATAAGTGGTAAGTGTGCATGTTATGCTTTGCGCACTTTCTAAAATCCACATAGGTGGTAAGTGTGCACGTTATGCTTTGCCCACTTTCTAAAATGTACATAAGTGGTAAGTGTGCACGTTACGCTTTGCCCACTTTTCTGAAATCCTGTATGGTAAGGGTTACGCGTTATTAGCCTCGTTCCCTTTCTCTGAGTTGGTTTAGACCCCGGTACCTTGGGTTGCACTCAACTAAGTGTGTCTCTGTCGACACACGCTGGAAGCATCACTCCCCTCACCATTCAGGGTTATTGTGAGCATGGTGTTTTCTTTCGAGTGTTTAATTCTCTCTGAGGAGTTGGATTCCTCGCTCCATGGGCGGTTCTCGTGGTAGTGCT